ACACACGTAGATTATGCAAACAAAAACTTTTATTTTGGATGTGATTAATCGTTTGACAGCACTAATATATAACAATTTAAAGATCTTTACTATCACTCTTGACAATAGTGCACGCAGAATCAAATGAAGAAGTGTTTCCACAATATAAATGTTTGTATATCATGTATTTTATCACCACTCAGGAGGACATGGACTTGTTTATAATGAGTCACATGTTGGATTAAATGTGTGAAAAAAAATGTGAAGTGACGTGTGGCCAAGTATGGTGACCCATACTCGGAATTAGTGCTCTGCATTTACCCATCCAAAGTGCACACACACAGCAGTGAACACACACACACCGTGAACACACACCCGGAGCAGTGGGCAGCCATTTATGCTGCGGCGCCCGGGGAGCAGTTGGGGTTCGGTGCCTTGCTCAAGGGCACCTCAGTCGTGGTATTGAAGGTGGAAGAGAGCGCTGTACATTCACTCCCCCCACCTACAATCCCTGCCGGTACGAGACTCGAACCCACAACCTTTGGGTTATGAGTCCGACTCTCTAACCATTAGGCCACGACTTCCCACTGGAACTTAATAACCATGCATGAGAGGACGAATGCTACGTCAGCGCTGTAATGAAAATGTATAGTGGATATTGGTTTTCTGCTGGGTCGATATGCATAGGATTCCTGTTGACACGTCTGAGATTACAGTGGGGTGAATGTGCTAAACTGCCAACCGAACTATGTGACAGCCTGAGCCCAGCGAATATATGTGTTGGATCAAACATCCTGGGCTGAAGCGGAGGTGAATATGTAAGTGTTATGCCGATGTGACAGAGATATATATGAGGCCTGATAAAGTGCTATGAAAAACAGATGTGTTAGGAGAATAAATTCCATTAACCCCACGCATCGTGTAATCTAAGACCGGGATCGATAGATGGAGTACTAAACAGAACAGTGAATCCAGAAAGAAATCAATACAAACCACTTCCAGGCCGTTTAGCATCAAACTGCTGCCCCTGCAATATACTGCTGAACGCTCACACTGAGATTACCGTCACATCATTAAAACAAAGCTAAATGTCAGAGCGCTCACCCAACCTATGACAAGAGACGGTCCACTAATCATCTGGGTTTAGGACGGGTATCCCACACTAAACTAACTGGGATAACAAACTGTGGTACACAGAGTGACATCAGGTGGTATGTATAGCACAACCCTAAAAACATAACCCTTTTAACCAGTGCTGGGTAGTAACTGATTACATGTAATCTTGATTACATAATCAGGTTCCAAAAATTTAGTACACGCAATTGGATTATATTACATTTTAAAATGCTCACATTCAGATTACAGTTACTTTTTATGGATTACATGATTACATATTATTCACACAATGGCTAATGGCTGTAAATTATTCATAATTAATTGATTTCTTAATTCTCCCTTTTCTTTTAAAGTTTCCTTTTTTTTTAAATATGTAGATTCTAGAAGAACAAAAATAGGCAAGCCCTGGTGTAATGTAATGTTTAATGCATTTTAAGATGTTGATCAAGTAATGTAATATACTGTATTTTCTTTCTCTTTGCTTTTTTTTATATCAACATGGTACACATTTAATGGTAAGTTTAAAACAAGTTAGGTTAAAAGTAATCTAAAAAGTAGTCAGAATACATTACCTTAATTGAGCAACTTAGATTTCATTACTAACTACAATTTTTATCATGTAATCAGTAACGGAGTAAAATTTATAAGTAATCTACCCAGCACTGCTGTTAACTGGTTAAATGCCAAGTTCAATCATGAAACTTGGCGCAGGTTTCACAGTGTTAAACTACTTGGCGCAAGCTGATTGGTTCATGTTGCTTACTCAGCCAATAAGCTTACTACTTTACATTTAAATGGCCGGTTAGTATATTCACTGAGCATTTTGCAGCACGCTTTCAACCCTCCATCCTCCCCAGCTCCACCTGTATAGATCTGCTACGGTTATTTTTAGGGCTGCAACGACTAATCGATAAAATCGATTATTATCGATTATGAAAATCATCGACAATGATTCTTATTAGAATCCCACAGTGCACATCCCACTCCAGCCGGTCGAGTCAAATTACAGCACCGAATTACACATTTTTATGGACAAAATGCATCTAAAATTGTGGAGGAAACAGAATGAGATGCTGCGGGAGAGTTACGTGATCCAAGATGCCCAAAACATGAGATTCCTTTATTTTAAGCTTTAAGCTAATGCATTAGCGCAATGGCTTGCCCTGGTAGATGATGCGTGTGCGTCCTCAGCGCAAAAACTTTCAGTTTTTGGTCATATCCTTATGTATAAATGAAACAAATTCACGCAAGCATTTCCATTTTTTCATAAAGGTCCGTCCTGACAGTCTATGTTAAGCTTTAATCTTTACTGAATGAGCGGCAGGCGCGTGAGCCCTCACTCCCAGTGGGCAAGGTAGGCCTCTGGCCTGATAGGCCGTTCGGATCGCATCCACAATCCAGTGGGATATCCTCTGTCTGGAGACAGCATTCCTCTT